GTGGGGAGACAGGTGTGGAGAAGACAATCACAACAACGACAACAACGACAACAATAATTATGAGAATAACCGCCATAATAAAATCAACAGAAAACAATTACAATTACAGCAACAACAACAACAACAACAACAACAACAACAACAACAACAACAACAACAAGTATAAACAAAAACCAGATCAGAAATTTAAGGACACAATGAATGCCATCCAAGAATCAATTCCATACCACTCATGCAAGTGCTCGCGACTGGGGTTTAGATCCCTTTGCATTCTGTTGGGAACTAAGCTAATTGATTGCACACTGCTGAGACTTTACCCCCCTCCTCTCTCTCTCTCTCTCTCTCTCTCTCTCTCTCTCTCTCTCTATCTTTCTCTCTTTTATCTCTCCCCCCCCCCTCTCTCTCCCTCTGACTATGCTTCGGTTTGCCCGTCTGTCTGAATGTCTGTCTGTCTGTCTGTCTGCCTGTCTGTCTGCCTCTCTCTCACTATCCGTTGTATCAAAGATGGACAGTTTACCTGAGCTTATCTCTAACATGATAATGCATGTAATAAACAATAATAAAAAGCATGTTCTGCACAAATTCCTGCTCAACAGCAAGATGAACATGCAATATTATTACCGCAAATGACCTGCAAACATTCTGATACGATCTTAACTTTTTGGGAAACGTACAGCGAGTCGCCAAAGGTATGAACACCGAATTGAACTCTCAACACTCAAATCTGACACCCCCCCCCCCCTTTTCTTCTCCGACACACACACACCCTTACTGTTTTTGTTTTTGTTTAGTTTGGGTTTGTTTGGGTATTTTGTTTGTTTTTTGTGATTTTTTCTTTCAGAGGGAAGGGGGAAGATGTCGTTTGTTTGTTTGTTTGTTTTTGTTTCGAACGATTCGATGAATGAGCGAACACACCACCCATCAGTCAAACCGGCTTGTCACAAGTTTTCGCACTTTACACAATATATTTATTATTCTGTAACTCCAAAATACGCTCAAGTTAAATAAAAAAAAACCGGGACGTGAAAAGAGCGAGAGAACAAAGCTGCCAGTGTGCTCACCAAACTGGGCGTAAGCTGAGCATGAACAAGCATGAACCACCACCGGCCAAAACTACATCAACTTGGAACCCCGAAGGAAAAATATTTTGGCTTTTTTCCTTTTCTTTCTTCTTCTTTTCAGCCCTCCTTTTCTTTCATTCCATGTCTTTTCCGCTGAGGCGTGGCTGGACAAGGAGCGAGCTCTTGTCGCTTTTATCATCGTTTTATTTGACAGCCAGACAGATTATCGTCTGTCCTCGCCGTCCTTCTCGCTACTACTGGCCATTCATTTACTTTTGGCGGCTTTTTTCCCCCAGCCCGCCAACACCACCGTCGTTTGTCCGGCCTTTATTATGGCGGTTATTTATTTTTGCAGGCGTTACTTCCTCGTTTTTCTTCTCCAACGGCTTTCTGCGCCTGTCCAGGGCGGTGTTTCCTCCTCGTGATTTTGGCCGTTTCTGAGCTTCTGATTTTATCGTTTATTTAGTGAGTCCGGCCGTCTTGTGATTCAGTAGGGTGGAGAGTGAGTCATTCACATTACTGTAATATAAATCGCTCCTTCATACTCTGAAATTAGCTCTCTCTGTCTCTCTCTCTGTCTCTCTCGCTCTTCCTCCCCCCCCTCTCTCTCACTCGCTCTCTATGTCTCTCTCTCGCTCTCTGTCTCTCTCTCTCTCTCTGTCTCTGTTTCTCTATATCTATCCATCTGTCTCTCTATCTGCCTCGCTGTCTATCTATCTATCTATCTATGTGTCTATCTATATATCTATCGATCGATCTACCCCCGACCCCAGCCTCCTCCACTTTGCGCCC